CAAGTTACTCGAGTCATAAAAAATTAATTATTATTTATAAAGGCTTATTTTCAAATTTATTAATATCGATATATGTGACAATTGTGTAATATCTTCTATTGTACGGGTCTTATGTAACAACTCGTGCTTTTTAATTTACTTCTGGTACGTACGAGATTGTACGTCAGATCCGTACAATAATATAAAAAAAAATAACGGTTAACCTCTGTCACATGTCTGAAGTCCATGTGATATAGATTAAATTTGTGCAGATTTAGTTACTTTCTACTATATACCTATACAACAATAACTATAACCAATACTGTATATATAGTGTATATATAGTGCATATTAGAGATAGCTGATACATAATATTACAATGGTTTTTTGATAATTTAAATAGAATAGCTTTATTAGCAGTAAAAGATTACACAGGTTATACAATTCACGTTAGAAAGCAAAGAAACCAATATCCAGGAGAAGGGGAGAGAGAATTGTACATGTGACTATAGGCTTAGCGTATTCAGGGTTTACTTTGATAAGCATCACGTGAAAGATATTTTGTATATATAGTTGTATAAGTCATTTTTGAAAGCCTTCGCTCCACTCCGAGCAAAAAATATATTTTTTGCATGTCGATCAAATTTTTAATTGAAATTCTCACAACTGTTTATGTAATGTATCAGAACAGAAACACTTGATTTTTTAGGAAATAAATTTTTAATATATGCAAATCGACATATACAGAAATAGCAACAGATATCCGGATGCATATCTGGTTGTTATGAGACAAAGAATTGCGTTTACTCGATTACAGCAAATCACAAAATTCAATATCCCTGCCGGGATGGTTTTTCAGGTTCTTAACCGGATGGCTGATAGTCATTGCTTACCATTACTGGTCAAAGCATAAATCATACGTAATTATGCGAGTTAACAGGTAAGATTTATTATCTGTCCTAGAAATGTACTATTATTGGATGTGTAGCAGCCAATAAGTACTTCTTACTTGGCATTCAGCAGGAACGAATCAACAATACCTTTAATGAAACAAAAAGGTCTTAATAACACTCAACATAAGTTTTTGTTAAAGAAATTGAATAGATCAAATATGATGTAAGTGAAAATACGATGCCTATATTATTCCTAACCAAGAAACTTCACGTGACGTCATAGGTCCGTTCTGCCGCATTGCATTGTCTTTAGTGTAACGCAGATATATATATCAAATATATAACAACTTTGGCAGCTTTTAAACTTTAAAAAAAAAAGCTATATTGCTTGACTGGTACATGGTTTCTTTCATCTTAAATTTCAACACAAATTATGGCTTCCACGACAATAGAAACCGAAGAATATGACACGTTACTTAGACGAATTCTGGAGCCGGAAGACGAAAGTATTGGAAGGAATTTTTCAATAACAACAAATGGGTCTTCAGTAGGATCATTACCACCAGAACTTGAAGCTGCTATGGAAGACGAGACTCAAGCTGAACAATACTTGAATAACCTGAAAATTAAAGTTGAAACTTGGCAAACGACTGGTTTAACGGGTGCAATTAAAAGAGCTTTCGACATTTTAAATGAAAATGGAATGACAGATGGAACAGACGAGGATACTGATGGAAGGTTAGAGCCCATGTTACTTCGCTGACAAAATCAGATATTGTAATTTGCATTTTGATGCAATTTACACTTTAATATTCACAATAACGTTGCGAATTGAGTTTCTTGCAAATCTAAATTTATAAAGTATTTATTGCGATCATATTTGATTGTATTAAATTTAACCGGATTATTTTCATACAGTAATGATGAACCATCTACACCTATAACGGAAGTCCAAGATCTCCATTCTCAGCCAAAAATAGCGGAGGGTTCAATTTCACGTCTTGGTAAAATTACTTTGACAATAAATTACACTTAATAAACAGAAATTGAAATTAATTTATTCATACATCCATTCAATAAATATCAGTGAATGGGGTCTCCTCATTGGTTGATATTGAAAAATGCTTCGAAGGACTTCAAATACCGGAATTGGATCTCACAACCACTCCAGAGAGTAAAATACAATCTACTCTTAATGAATTATACAAACTACAAGAAGACCTTCAAATTCATTTACAAGGTGGACCGTTAGCCGATCCATCAACTTTAGGTACGCAAAGACGAAAAAAAGTATCCGATCTGCTTGAAAGGGTCATGAAAGAGGCTGCATTATATGAGGAATTCGTGAATAGAGGTATAGTAAGTTTTCTATTTTTCCGATTAATATATTAAATATCTGATTTAACCCAAAATTCATTGCATACTCGTTATTACTAGCATCACATCTTAGTTTAGAGAGAATTCTAAATGAATCAGATGCATCCAGTGAAGAGGAATTTCAAGATTCTGAAACTTTGGATACAGAATCTGGAATTCATTGTTTTGAGGTTAATTTCATTTATTATAAGTGCTATTTTAATTTCATACAAAGTCTGATATCACATAAATTATCGTGTAGGATTCCTTTTCAGATATTTCTCGTAGATCTACAACAACCACATCAACTGCCCCCCTTTCACCGCGTTCACTAAAGCCAATTGATCCACATCTTTCTCGTCTTCGCACCATGTCAAACGCATCGGCCCCTTCAATACGGTCTCGTGCATCATCCCGTCGTTCACGTTCATCATCTCCGTCTGTATTAGACCTTGAAGACATGGGATTGTTTTCGCCACCGGAACCTCGAGAAGCATTTCGGTGGTGTCCTTTGCAAAAAATTTCTGATCATTTATACTCACAGGACGTTAGGCATAATGCAGGTTTAGCAACTGTGCTTGCTGTGAGTAATTTATTATGATCATATATGATCATATTTGTTTTCTTTATTTTAAATGAATTATATCATAAACCAGTTTGTCTGATTGTATATTCTTCTTCTTTTGCTAATATGTAGGTGAGTAGTATAGTCGCTGTTGGTACTACACGTGGATTGGTCATGGTATATGATATTTATCCACAAAATTTAAAATGTATTTTGGGCAGCACTGCAAATGGTATTATGTAAAGCCTTATGTATGCGTATATGCACTTTTTAGAAATTTCCTTTTTGTCATTAATATTTTAATATGCAACTTATTTGTAGCTCTTGAACATGGTGCAGTTACGTCACTTGCAATTTCTTCAGATCATACACAGATTATTAGTGGTCACGCGGAAGGTTACATTTTAATATGGGACATTCAAAGGCATACAAGTCCATCTCGGACCATTGTACCTATATCCCCTGCTGTTGCAGCAGGCGGTGGAAAAGAAGGTCATATTCGTGGCTCTACAATTTTACATGTTGGGTTTGTTGGTGTTCGAAAAAATGGTATCGTTTCTGGGGATAATCATGTATGTTCTGAACTTGAAATGTAATTTTTTTAAATCTCTGGAATTTAAATCTGTTTGATGAAAATCTTTATTTACATATATATCAATTATCAGGGAATGGCATTCTATCATAACTTATACAAAGTAATGATGGTCAATGCAACTGAAACAACACGTATCCTTGGTCGATATCCTGTTTCCATACCAACTCATGAAACACCTGTTGCGTCAAAACCAAATAGACCCAGTACAGTATTCGGATTGGCTCCACTACCTTTAGGTCAGTCGGTGCATGGTTCCGAAAGCTTTGGCCTTGTCGCTATGTTAACACCATATAAGGTATTAATTATGCATTTATTAAAATTTTATGATAACGTTTTATTTAAAGTTTTTGTTAATTTTATTCCCATGATA